ATTTATATATACATAATAATAAATATACATATATTATGTAAACAAAAACTTTTATTTTGGATGCGATTAATCGCAATTAATAATTTGACAGCACTGAAAATAACAATTATATATATTATTTTAATCTTTTGAGCAGTAGTGTATTTGAGGACGTGTGTGTACTTGAAAGTAATACAGACAATTTGCACGTTCCTGAGGAAAAAACGACTTTAAATCTCATCTGACCATTTAGACCGAGATTGGAAAACATCAGATTTCAAGTGGTTTTTATTTGTTTGTTTGTTTTTTCGCTGTTCACACAAAAAAATAGATTTTAAGCAATTAAAATCCCCCCCCAAGTAATGTTTTCTGGAGCTTTTGCCCATTGCATGTATTGGTTGTACTCAGACAGACTATCTATATTTTGCATATAATTGAAAATGACATCTACTCTATGATCTAATGAACAGACTTCCTCTATGGTAGACATTTTGCGAAATGTAATTTAGCTATGACCTCACAAAGCTTTGCTGAGACTCCCTTGACTCCAGTCTCTTCCTTTCACTTTCCTCACTCTTATTGTTTCCCCTCATCTCAAACAAACAGCATTCTTCTTGTTCTCTCTTTCTCTTCTCAGACTTTCTCTCTATCCATTGCCAAGCACACCACTCCCCCCTTTCTCATTATTTTTATATGTGGTACACATCTCATGGCTTTCCAGTCTGAAGTGAACTAACTTCTATACCTGTTGCCCCCTAATCCAGTCCTACACCTCTCGGTGTACAACACAGCCATTTTTTCCTCTTTAACTCCGTAGGGAATGCCACCCCTTATCTGACCTTCAAAAAAACTGCACCCGTTTTGCATCGAGAGATCAGAAAAAAAGCAACAACAAAAAAAGCAATGCAATTAACCCTATGAGATATCACCCAAAGAAAGATAAAGATGCTAAACAAACCCAAAAATACAAGTGGTCAATGAAAGATCAAATGATACTCTCTGTGCGTGGCTGCACTGCTCTTGTTCTGTGAGGGGTGGGGAGGGAGGAGGGGGGTGCATGCAATGCATGCTGCATGGAGTAGGGGTTGATGTTCGGGGGGGCTGTGATCGGTGGGGAGGACGGGTCGTACCATTGCTGAACTCCGATTAGGGGTCGTGCTGCATTGCATGTGCTTTTGCATGGCCACCGCTGGAACGCGGCTCATGCTCGTTGGTATCTACACCTGCAAGGAACGACGGACTGGTCTGAAATGGGCACACAAATATACACAGGCTCACAAACACATGCTCACTTCCTCACACTAACGCCATGTTGTGTGCTTGTGTGTTCCAGTTCCATGAAGGTACATCCAATGCATGAAACCGGCATCTAAAAACAACTTTTTATGTGCCCTTTCGTTCATTGGTTTATCCTAAATATATGAACTCCGACAGGTAGGGGGAGCTCTTTAGCAGTAGCCTTTTGTGACATTTGTGTCCTCAGCCTTTGCTAGCTGATTCAAGGTCAGTTGATAGCACTTCCCAAAAACTATAAGCGCACTTTATATTGTAGAAATTTGAATTAGATGCAGAATATCAAATCAAGTGGCAGTCCCAAAAAATACATACTTATGTGAGTGATATTTATGCCTGATCTGAGATCAGTTTTCACAGGCAGAGGAACACTGATGACGATGAAGCGATGACTTTATCCCATGTGATACTGCTCCACTTATCTGTGAGGGCTCCAATTAAGTCACTTAATTGATGTGTATGTACTGTATATGTTCTATGAAATGTGTGAATGGTTCATTCACACATTACAAGGCTGCAGATTGTTGGTCAATTATTTGTCAGTCTAAGAAAACTGCTCTCACAGATGCCAACTTAGTCTTCCCAGATCCCTTTTTGTGTGATTGTATGAGTATCATCAAAAGAAACTACAGTCAAAACTACAATCAAATGGGTGAGAAAAACTTAATCTCCTGCAATTTGTGTGGCCAGTGATTTATTCTTTGGCTACAAACTGCTGAGCTCCCCAAGCCTTTTATTAGCTCACCAAAACATCTGATTGGAGGTTTAACTTACACAGCCCTGCCCTCATCCCCTCTGATTGGCTCTTCACAGAGACTGCTACGCATGGACCTACCTGTTGCAGATGACAACACGGTGCATTTCAACTCCACTTTGATGGCTTTGATACGCACAGCTCTGGACATCAAAATCGCTAAGGGTATAGAACGACATCCCTTTTTCTTTTTCCTTACTTCTTTCCTATCTTTTATTTGACTAAAAATATAAATTAAACATAAGTCCATACGTATCATAAAAACAGATCTTTTTCTTTCTTTTTTGATTGTATTTATTTTTTATTTTTTGTTGAAAATTTGAGTCAAATATACCAAAAATTCCCATTTCTTTCTTTGTTTGGTTTTGTTTATTTCTTTTTTATTTTATTTTAAACTTTTTTTTTAAAATCTTTTTTTTACATTTGATATATAAAAACTATATAAAAAAATAATTTTCTTTCTTTGTTTATTTCTTTCTTTCTGCATATGAAAAACTTAAAAATATGTCTGTGTGTCTCTCTTGTATCTTCTGAATGAATGTGATTTTTAATATTGCGCTGATGCTTTTGGTGTATTGGCATATTTTGCTTGTCTGTACATATGTGCATGTGTATGTGTGTGTATGTCCCCTGCCCTGACATCATACGCTTACAGGAGGCGCAGACAAACACCAGATGGATGCCGAGCTCCGTAAGGAAATGATGTCGATTTGGCCAAATCTCTCCCAGAAGAACCTGGATCTGCTGGTAACACCACATAAGTGTAAGTTGCAGATGGGTTTGTAGAAAAAAAAAAAACAAAGATCACCAATTCATCAGAGGACAGCTTCTCTCAGCCCACACCGCTCAGCACCCTCTGATCAGGCAACACTTTCACTTTAACTAACCCTTATCCTGTCCCCACATGACAAATCAACATCTTACACTGTTAATTAGCTCAATAATACCATGCTTTACCATATTAATGCTATTTAAAAATCATTCTGTCTCACAACGATATGATTTATTGCTTATTGTCATTCCACAACTATATGATTTATGATTTATTGTCATTCCACTTCTAAAATACATACCCTCCCTTCCTCAACCTCTTTCCTTTTTCCCCTCTTTCTTTGTTCTCTCCTCTGTCTTCATTGCCTGTTATCAGGGGGTGCCTCGCTATAGACGGATCCTCTATAGAAGTCTTTTCACTCCAGCACGTGTAAAGCACAAAGCTGGGCTTAACCTCCAGACCACAGAGCCTCAAAAACAGTGTAGCCTGAGATATTACCTCATGTTTACAGATGTTAGAGACTTTACATTTTAATATGATGACCAGAATGTATTTAAATCTGTGTATATTTTCTATGAAAAATACTTTTGTGTGCTTTCCTTTAGCATGTTTTCTTTTTAATTTTGAAATTGCAGCATGCTTTAGAATTATTTCTAAGGTTTACTGTCAATCCCTGGGGGTTTCGTGCCATTTTACTATGAAATTGTACTAACAAGAAAGTGTTTAATGTGAAGGGATATCTTTGTCATTTATGGCAGCTCAAAATTTTTCAAATTTATATGTTATGTGTCTCATTCAAACTCTGGATGCCGCTGCAGAGTTTTGATGAAAAATTTGAGCTCCTCACAAAACAGTGTAATCCTAGCATTGTTATTGTTGCCTCATTCATGGCATATATTCATAGTGAAATGGCTCTTGAGTCCCTGTAGGAATGTAATACAGGCTAGAAATGTGAAGCTATTAAAGGTCCTTGAGAAAAATGAGAGGTTCTTTATAGTGGTCGACCGATATTTTTTTTTTTTTTGACAGCCGATGCCGATATCTTGGAAAGCAGGGTGGCCAATGGCCGATATAAGCCGATAGAATTGTATTTATTTTAATTCATATTTAAGAAATTTGAAATCGTTTGAAAATTTATTACAAAATAAATGTGTTAAATAAACATACTTATACTTTAGATGACAAAGTATTTTTCACAAATAAATAAATATTTAATAAAAATATAATTAAAAAGGAAGTAAACACTGTAACCAACAGGGCACTAAGTAATCTGGGAAGTTTGTGTGCATTGGGAATCATATTTTTTCAAATAAAGCCAAGGTAACACTCATTTTACATACAGCACACAGTGAAAATGACATGAATATGGCAGTGGGCAAATGCATAAAGCGCAGCATAATTTAAAATCACAAGTTTAAAGTTTGTCGATCGCGCATCTCCAGTGAAGCTGAACTCTCCTCCTGTCCGCATTCAATTCGCACGGTCGCAGACTTCTATCCGTATTTAGACAGAACTGTTAACGACAACAGCGAACCAGAGGGAGAATGTGAGCACTGTGTGCTCAGGCGCTGCCGTTCTCAGCCTCGAATGCATCGGCCAAACAGAAAAACTTATCGGCTGATGCCGATATTTAAAAAAATGCCAAATATCAGTCGTTCTACTACTAGTTCTTTAATTAATGAGGATCTGACTGTGAAAAGACTATCAGCTCTGTGGTGTTTTGTATTTGTCGATGTACTTTGTCTAGTGTCTATTGTGTAAAATGTGTATTGTGTGTTTCTATGTTGTTGTATATACAGTTGCACCAGAAAGTATTTGGGCACTTAAGCCATACTAAAATGTTTTGAATGTTATTGCATTTGGTAGCAGCACACCAGGTGACATTTATTTTAAGGAAAGCAAAATATTTTTCAACAAGTTAACAAAAATTGGTTAAATGTCACAGCAAATACGCCTAAGCGAAGTAAAATTCATGTGGTAATTTGTTGTCTATGCAATGACATTCATACTTGTATAACTATGACTTAAGTGTCTAAATCTAAATTTTGGGGCAGCTGTATTTGTGAAATTTGTCTTGTAATTTGTTATTTAACTGTTGTCTAGTTTCTCAGTCCCAGATTAAGACTCATTCTGGCCTATGAAGAACTTCTGTTGGTTCATTCCCATTGAGGTTTCTTGTGAGGTCATGACTGAGTTTTGTCTGGGTCTGAGAGACTAGACCTTGTGATTGTGGCATGTCTTGTCTCCAACTCCCATTCCCCTCTCGGCTCAGGGTCCCATTCCACCCCAGTCTAATTGTGCAGGTTAACTTTTTCATCCTCTCAGCAGCAACAGACCTGACAGTGGGCAAGATCTACGCCGCCATGATGATCATGGAGTACTACCGGCAGAGCAAGGCCAAAAAGCTGCAGGTGCTTCGTGAGGAGCAGGTACCACTTCAGACAAACAAACAAATGCCAAGTCTGCTCTCTAGCTTTGCTAATCAACACTGGTAACACCACATTTTATTGATTCGTGCCTGTCCACACGGCTATTCTAAATTTGTTAACTTCACATTTATTGGCTATGTCTGAAATGTATTTATAAATATTAACCTAAGATTCAAGTTATAATTTCTAGAAGTAATCATTGCCTTTTTTATACTCATTCTGAAAACTTTATTCACATATTGGTGCTTTTATACAGTATTTGTTATGAGATATCCCAAAATATGCATTCAAATACATGGTTGAAAACCAGACTCTACATATATAGGCAGTTAGGCATGCAGCTGACTGTAGTTTCAGACACAGCCAATGTCTCTTTCACTCTATTTTAAGATGAAATTATCCCTTGTTAGATATGTACACTGCCGTTAAAAAGTTTGGGGTCGGTAAGATTTTTTTCTGTTATTTCTCTTATGCCCACAAAGGCTGCATTTATTGAAAATGCAGTTAAACAGTAGTATTGTGAAATATTATTACATCTGTTTATATTTTAAAATGCAATTCATTCATGTGATGCTAAAGCTGAATTTTCAGCAGCCATTATTCCAGTTTTGGGTGTCACATGATCCTTCAGAAATCAATATAATATGCTGATTTGGTGCTCGAAAAACATTTCTTATTATCAATGTTGAAAACAGTTTTGCTGCTTAATATTTTTGTGGAAACTGTGATACATCTTTTTAGGATAATTTGATGAATAAAAAGTTCAAAAGAAGAGTATTTATTTGAAATAGAAATCTTTTGTAGCATTTTAAATGTCTTTGCTGTTGACTGTCACTTTCGATCAATATAATGTATTCTTGCTGAAAAACAATAGAATTATTTTTTTTATCTTATCGGTCCCAAACTTTCGAACAGTAGTGTATGTCACTTCCCACATGGAGCACTATGATTTAAAAGATGTACGTGCAAACCTTTAGATATTTTAGTGCTTTTATGGCATGGAAACAAAAACACTGATTATATACAAGATCATTTCACATTTTATTTACAGAGTTAGAGCATGCTTAAAAACACACACAGTAGTTTTGCTGAGTATATGCAATGATGAATGATACAACATGGCCTTTTGTCAGTGTCACTCCTGTCCCCTTCCCTAGAAACGTTTCCATCCTGTACAGGCACAGTGTCTATAGTTTCTGCCTGCATTTTCAATTTAGTAATACTTGGAGCCTACCACAAAGAGCGTGGACACTCTGTCGGTATCAGGGAATGGTCTAAATATATGTTTGTGTCTTGCCTCCCTGTCTGTCTCTTTACCTGTCGTACTTCACTTGACTGCATCTGTACCTCAGCACCGTCCTCTCAACATCAGCTTCACTTTTGTGGCTGTCTCACTCTCTATAACCATCTATGATGTCTGTATATCTATGTCTGTGTCAACTTGTTTGCATTTTAACTAATTCTTTTTGATATTTCCTCCTTATTTCCATTCTTTTTGGCATATTGGATCCACTGCCAACCTCTTGTTCTTTTTTGTTGTGTGTAATTTTCTCTGTTTTGTCTTGTCTTCCTTCATTTGTTGATTGGTGAGGATGTCACTAACATGGAATCTTTTCTCCCTCCGTGTGGACACCGTTTGTCTAGCCAAATATGTTCATTAATGGATGTTGAGGGGAGGTTCTTGGTGTAACCTTTGGGCTACCACGGTCTCTGAGATTTCTAGTGTTCATAGTTTAAGTTTCACCCACCCAGAACATGTAGTTCTGCAAGTATGAACCTCAGATCTTTACTGTAGCACGCCCAAATTGTTACAACCACCCATATCTTCTGGTGGGTTGGATGGAAATGTCTTGAGCCATCGGCACCTACCTAGACAGCACAGCCCCAATGGAGGACTCCATTCAGGTTGGCGAGGGCACAGGAGAACTCCATTTCCCATGATGCCCTCTGGGGGACCTCTGCTGTCTGGTACCCCACCACCTGTGGAATGCACGGTGGCTTGTGTGTGTTACCCCATATCCCATGAGTGTGTCTGATCCCAGCTGCAGGCCATGTTCGTATCTCACACAGAACCGAACGCCATTAATGTTTCAGCGCATGGAGCCATCCCCGAACCAGGAAGGTGGACAGGGGCTGAACGGTCTCCCCGAGTTGCCGCAGGAACCTGTCAACAGCCTGTGAGTAGCATCCTGCATAGTCTTTCTATGCAAGTCATGTGAATGAAAAATATTTGTAAGGCATTTATTAATCTGAGTTCATATTCATTGCAGCATTTACTAATACATTATTAAAATCCAAAGTTTTATCTGTTAATATTAATTAATGGACCAGAGCTAACATGAACTAACGATGAACAGTTGTACATTTATTAATTAACATGAACAAAGATGAATAAATACTGTAACAAATGTGTGACTAATCGTTAGTTAGCATTAGTTACTGCATTAATTAATGTTGACTAATGAACCTTATTGCAAAGTGTTACCGCTTTAAGTTAAATCTTTCTGAGTGAGTCTCATGAAATCATATCCAGGTCCATATTTCTTCCCAAAAGCAAAATGAAATGATAAAATGTTGTTTATTGCATTAATAAAATGAATTAATTTTTAAAAAGAATGGTATAAAATAAACAATTGTATTGCAGTAAGGAAAAATTCTGAAATACAAATATTTTTGTTATGAAAAATTTTAATAAAAAATTATTTTGTGTAATACAAAATTCTAAATTCAATAATTATAGACAGCATAACAAATACTGCCATGAAGTACTGTATAAACATTCTACAATTTAAATATTTATTTTCTCTATTTTCTCTCTCTCTCTATATATATATATACAGTGGGTACGGAAAGTATTCAGACCCCCTTAAATTTTTCACTCTTTGTTATATTGCAGCCATTTGCTAAAATCATTTAAGTTAATTTTTTTTCCTCATTAATGTACACACAGCACCCCATATTGACAGAAAAACACAGAATTGTTGACATCTTTGCAGATTTATTAAAAAAGAAAAACTGAATATATATATATACATATGTATTTCTCATATACTATGTATGTATTTTTCAGAGTAATGAAAATCTGTCATTAAATGTGGTTAATTGGCATGAAAATAATGTCACAGTTCCAAAATTGTTAATTGTACAAATTAAACATTCATTTTTTATTTTCTTATTTTTCTTTTTAATTTTGGAGTAAAATATTACCTGAGAGGTTTTATGAGATTCACCTGTTTCAACTGGTGCTCTTTGTCTTCTCTTTCACTGCTTAGCTTTGCTTTAATTGTTGTCTTTCTTCTTGTCCTTATAGGCTGCACTTCTGCTCTTTCTTTGTTTTCCCGTCTCTCAGCTGTCACTCTACTCACATTGCGTTTCGATTCTTCGATATACGTCTATCTGCTTTTGTGTTAATTCTGCTGTTTATACATATATACATTTGTAATCGTTTTTTTCTGTACTATTTTTGTCTGCAAAGGGCATTTTGTAGGTACAAAACTGCTTTTATGTAAGCGCATGTGTGAGTGAGTAAATGAATTAGCCAGCCAACATCTTTCTCTGGTTCAGGCCTCCGGAGGGTGGAATGAGTGAGAGCCAGTCGTGGGCGACGTCACGAGCCCAGGAAAAGCTCCAGAAGTCTGTTCCAGAAAACTGGAACCCTGACAGACCGTATCCTGATGACCATCACAACAGCCGTCACAATCCACAGGTAATATCGGAGGTCCTCAGTTCAGAAAGGCAATTTTGTCTTGTTTAGATCTGAATTTAAATTTGGCTTGGAAATCGTCAAAGCAGCCGTGACTATATCAGCTTCTCTCAGCCTTTGGTAATGAACTGTGTGCTGTTTAGCCAGTCACTGTCTTCCCGGCCATCGTCCCTTTTTCGCTGCTTTTGGACACACTTCTCATTCATATTATCACTCGTTCTATCTCTTCTGTCTCTGTCGGTCTGTAGCTCACTTCTTTATCTGTCTGATGAATCATTCTGATGAACTTCACTGCCCATTGTAGACCGTTTGTTTAGACCCTTCCATCACTGCCAGACTGCGGTGGGGTTTCACTGCTTGCCTGCTTCCTCACTGTCTGCTGGATTGTACCAAACCCCCTCCAGACTCTCATCTCTCCTTCAGTGTGACTCTTCTCTGTAGCTCAGCAGTCATCCGACCCTGATGTTTCCCTGCACTAGTCACTCATCCTAATACTATGAAGCAAAGGAGATGCTGAATAAACAGATTTAGGCATAATGAGCATGTTGGAAAGTACTTAAACCTGTAGTAGGCAATTAGACAGGGTCAGTGTGCACCTAGTCTCAGCCTACAAGAGATCTGTAAACAAGAGCTGTGACCTGACCCGATCCAACCAGTACTGTGTGTTCTACTTCCTCTCTTCCCTTTGGATGTGTATGCAAAACATTTATGCTAAATTTGTAATATTAAGTCTTCCATTATTTACAAAGCCAAAACTTAAAAGTACACATAGAAATTGCATAATTGAAAGACTTTCAGATTTTTTTTGTAGGAGTTGAATCATATTTAATTTGGGATTTTGGATTGGTAAAGAAAAAGATCTAATATATATAAAACAACAGCTTTTATATATATATTTTTTTTACAAACATATCACAAGTAAACACACTTGAATTTGAAGTAGCTTGAAATCTGAAACAACTCAATCTCTTTTTATTTCCTCTCAACAATTTGGATATGTATGCAAAATAAGTTAAAGGTAAAACATTTGTATTATTAATTTGTAATATGAATCTTAATATTTACTATATTTGACCTTTTTATAGACCAAACCTGAAATCGGTCAATCTTTTTTTATTTGCTCTCATCATTTTGGATATGTATGCAAAATAGGTTGTTAAATTAATTAAATTATTTAAATTGTTATATGAACCAGAACAACAAGTTTTATTTTATTTTATTTTATTTTATTTTGTTTTATTTTTACAACCATATCCCAAGAAAACAAACCTGAATTTGAAGTAGCTTAAATATGGCTTCTACATTTTATTTGGGATGATTAGTAGTAAATGTAATGTAAATGTGACGTAAATATTCAGATTTACTCGTCTTTAAACATTATATACAAAAATCAAACATTGGCTTGTTTATTTTATTTTATATACTCTATATATCAGTCAGACAACCCCTTCCTGTCTTCTCTCGTTTCTTGGCCGGAATAAGCTGTGATGTGGGCTGATAGTCAGAGACTAGTGTGCACCTGTTCTTTTATTCCACTCTGTTAGTGATATGCATCATTTGGAATGGCCTCTAGTTAATCTACTCTTCAGTTCAACTGCACTTTTGCGCAAAACGTTGGCCTCTACTGGTTTATCACACCCGATAGAGCTGTAGGCCGGTGAAGCAGGCATCAGCCCAGCCCACATGCTGTTGCTCTGTTTTGCAGACGGTAGAAATGAGAGAGATTGGGCCTGTTGGGGACGGTTACTCGGACACTGAGCCCTATCACCCAATGGAAGGGCATGGGCGGACCATCTCCATGCCACGCCTCTCAGCAGACAACCAAGTGAGCACCTTCATTCTTTCATCCATCCATTCACCCATTTGGTCTTTCCACCTTTTATCTGTTATCCATTCCCAATATCCGTCCTATGTCAGTTATCCAGCTAACAGCCTTTGACAGCTTCAGTTGGGGGAACCAAACTTCAAAAGTTTGGTGTGTTGTCATGCTAACAAGCCAATAAATGCTAGCATGTCTTTGTCAAAAGTCAAAGGGCACATGGATAAGTGGCTCCCACCCTGACCTTCACTTACATACATGGCTGTGTGAGAGTGTGAGAGAGAGAGAGAGAGAGAGAGAGAGAGAGAGTTGGTTCTGTGAATCATCATAACACCCTAGCTCAATTTCAAGAAAACCTTGGTGTGTCTGGAGTGTGCTGCTGCCAGAGCTGGATTTGAGGTAGTGACAGAAGTAACAGAAAACAGCCTGTGCATAATTACAAAATGTATAGTTCCAGCCCTAACTAATTAGATAAAGCATGTTTGTATGGAATTATCAACTATTTGATTGTATAAATATTTAATTAAAGTTTTACAGCATAACTAATTGTAACATTAAAATTAATTAATAAATCACATTTCTAATTGAAAAATAAAGACAAACATTACTGTTCAGAAGTTTGGAGTTTTTTATGTTTTTGAAAGATGTCTCATGTTAGCTGAGGCTGCATTTATGTGATCAAAAGTATAGTTAAAACCGCAATATTGTAAAATATTATTGCAAATTAAAATAGCTGTTATTTATTTTAATATATTTTAAAGTGTAATTTATTCCTGTGATGACAAAGCTGATTTCTCAGCAGCCATTACACCAAACTTCAGTGTCACGTGATCCTTCTGAAATCATTCTAATATCTGATTTGGTGCTCAAGAAATATTTCTTATTATAATTAATATTAAAAACGCTGGTTAATATTTTTATGGAAACTGTAACAAATGTAAAATTCAAAATAACAGACTTTATTTGAAAACAGAAAACATTCAAATTGTCTTTACTGTCACTTTTAATTAAAGTTTCTTTGATTAATGTTTAAAATTTTAGTTAAATGAAACATTTAAAAATACTTTCACTATTTTTTAAATGCAACATAATTTAAGAAAACATTTGCATCCAAATGCATTTCTTAATCCATTTGTCAGTTGAGTTAAAAAAAAAAAAAGTTATAGGACAGTTCACATATGAAAGTAGCCATGCAGTTAACTGTTGACTAAATTGAAGACGTGTCCCATTACATGCATTAAAAGGCCAAAATTAAGTATGAACATATGCACTGCTTTGCATACCCAATGTACTGTGACCTCCTGACCTGATGAGATATTTCACCAGATCCTTTTGAAACACTACCACAAATCAACCTCTGGAGGCAGTAACATGCTCAAAACATTCTATTCCGCAAACATACACCCACAACATATCACATAGAAGCAATTACGCTATTATGCTATAATGCATAAATGTGTGTACACACACAGCATTTCTTGGAAGTGTGGTGTGTACAGTACACACCAGGAAGTGTGAGGATCCAAAGTCTGTGTTTGTGCATGTCGTGTAAAGCTGTAACATAGATGTGGTTGTTGTTCTTGTGACTCACTCTTGTCTAACACTGCTCTGCCCCACAGAGTGTGCGTTCTGCTGCGGTAAGTGTGTTAGTGTGCTTCCTATCTTCCTATACACTCGCTCAATTTTTGTCTTTTTTCTCTTTCCTTTTCCTCCACCTCCCCCCAACCCCTTCCTTTCAATGCCCGTGTGTTTCTGTGCTCTCTCTAAATTAAAATGGGGATCACTATTTTTCTCTCTCTCTTTCTCTTCTCCTCTCCACTTTGCTTTTAATCTCTCCTTTAATCTTGTTTTTTTCTTTCCGTTTTAACCCATAATGCCTTGTGGTTTTCTGTTTCCCTTTTCCTTTCATTGTCATTCATGTCCTCTTTTTTCCTTTGTCATTTTGTGGTTTTACTTTTTCTCTCTTTCTCCATTTTTTTTTTTTGCTTCCTTTGTTTTGGTCTCTCTCCTTCTTCATGGATTTCCCATGGCACGTCTTTTCATTTCTTACTCCATCGATTCCTTTCTTCTTTTTTTGATGATTTCTCAACCCTGTGATCTTTCTTGCCCACTCTGTCATATTGCACATTGAATTTGTCACCATTTTCATGTCATATCTCTGTGCCCCTTGATTTTCTACTCACCTTTTCCTTTCTTCCTTCCTTCCTTGTTCCATTTCCTCTTTACTTCCTTTATTTTCCCCCTCTCTCTTTTTTCCTCACACACTTTCTCTGCTGTGCTCTGTATGTATCGTCTCGTGGTCTCATGCGTGTGTCCTGTTCTGCGCACCGTCTGTCTGCTGTTCAACAGCGACGGAGACACAGGCCGCGAGGAAGTAACCTCAGTGTATGTACCATCTCTGGCTTTCTGCCTCTTCTCCATGCTCTCCCTCATTCCCGCTCTCTTATTTTGTCTGTTTTAGGAGTCTGCGTCTCTCTTTATGTCTTGATGTCACACTGAACTCTATTTCATGCCATCCTTCTTGTTATTCACCCTCTTTTCCTGTTTTCCCTTTGTATATTCTGTCCGTCGCTGTACCTTTCTCTCTATATACCTTTTTCCTGTCCACTTATGCAGCCCTGTATCCCTATGTGTGTGTGTGTGTGTGTGTGTGTGCGTGCGTGAGTGTGTGTGTGTCTGCCTGTGTCTTATCTCTGTATTTCTGGTCCTGTGGACATGGGGAGCTTTCGCTGTCTCGTAGTTCTTGACGCATGGATTTTAAACAGGAAAACCTGCTGCCAATAACGGTCATGTTGTTAGCATGTTTCAGTCTGGCGCATGGCATAAAGCATTATGTGTGTGAGTGAAGACGAGTGTAAAGGGATATTTCAGTTTTCAGATCATGTTTTGATGCAGAAGAGCGTTATGTGCCCAAGTATGTCTTTGTGTGTCTACACATGCTATAGATTGTCATGTTGACCATCATGTATCCGGATGTGTGCATGGACAAATGTGCTGAACTTCTTTTGGCTGGATTGGGTTCTGTGTGCTCAGCTATGGCAGAGAAACATGAGTATTTATTTAATGGTTCTGCTTGAATTAGAAAAGCTGCAGCGCATGTAAGGCATGACCTATCTATCTATCTATCTATCTATCTATCTGTCTGTCTCTCTGTCTTTATGTCTTTGTTTTCTATCTATCTATCTATCTCTGTCTGTCTGTCTTTATATCTGTGTTTTCTATCTATCTATCTATCTATCTATCTATCTGTCCGTCTGTCTTTATATCTGTTTTCTATCTATCTATCTATCTATCTGTTTTCTATCTATCTATCTATCTGTCTGTCTGTCTTTATATCTGTTTTCTATCTGTTTTCTATCTATCTATCTATCTATCTATCTATCTGTCTGTCTGTCTTTATATCTG